GGCAGTTCAGTGGGGGGGCTAGGGCCAGGACTTACACTGTAAACAGAACTGAGCTGACCGAGGAGCTGCAAGGAGGAGGAGGGAGCTGACAGGAGCTGCAGGAAGGTAAGTAAGAGCTCACTGTCAGCCCCCAACAGGACTGCCGGGCTTGTAATGAGCCCGGCGGTCCTGGTCTGTATTATGGCAATGTAAATTGCCATAATACAGACTGACTCGAGTATAAGCCGAGTGGGGGTTTTTCAGCACAGAAAATGTGCTGAAAAACTCGGCTTATACTCGAGTATATACGGTATATATAATGTATTTGAATTCTTTTTTAAATATTTTATTTATTTTATTATTTATTTATTTTTTATTGTAATTATATGTGTATATATATATATATATAAAATATATATATATATATATATTATATATATAATATATATATATATATATATATATATATATATATATATATATCTTATATATATGCAATACCATTCTAAGTGTATTTTAATACTAATATTTATACTTACATTAACATTAAAATACACTATGTATGTACATATATATATATATACACACACATCTAATTTATTTTAAACCTGTCTCTATTTTTTTTTTTACATTTCCCACCAGCAGGGGGACTGTCTGACATTTGACTGACTGTCTGACAGATCTACAGCCAGCTATAGGGGGCCATGTGATCGCTCTTTGAGAGCGATCACATGGCCCCCTGGGGGCTTGATTTGTCAGGGGATGGCAACCTGGGCTTTCAGGCAGTCCTCCCGAAGTTGATCGCGGCGGAGGTAAGTACATTTTACCTCCAGCCGTTATGATGTTCTACGGTGCCACAAAGGCTTTAAAGCACATTTAAACGCATAGAACGCCGTAACTGCGTTAAGGGGTTAACTGAAACGCATCTTTGTTTTGTTTATACACTATTTTCTAAATTGAGAACTCAAAGTGAATTGCAAATTTAAGGCCAGAGTAGATGATCTGAAAGCAGAGCCGACGTAGAGAGTGTTTCCAGTTCAGCTATTTTGACCTTAAATTTGAAATTTACTTTGAATTCTCACTTTATTAAATATTCCTGCATATGTAACAGAGTATATATAAATATACATTTAAAATGTATTAACCAAACATAACTGAAGAGTTAAAATCTACAAAATTGCAATATACTGAATAACTTTCTCTGGATGTCTATTCTATGGAAGCATATTTTTCTATTGACCTGGTCTTTTATGTAGACCATGGGTCGTCAACCTGGTCCCTACCGCCCACTAGTGGGCGTTTTAGGATTCCAGGTGGGCGGTAGGGATTTCTGAGGCTAAATCCTCTTTTTAAGAGGATTTCTCCTTTTGGGCGGGCGCGAGCGGCTCTGCATGCGCAAGTCTTCAGTGACCGGCAGGAGGAAGCGCTCCCTCCTGCCAGGCCACCTTCTGGACCCCCCGGCATGGCAGCGTTCTAATCAGTCGCGGCGAGGGAGCTCTAACCTCTCTGCTCTGCTCCCTCGCGCGATGTTTGCTGATGCCGCGGGAGCCGGAATATGATGTCATATTCCGGCTCCCGGCATCCGTAGACAGTCCGCGAGGGAGCAGAGCAGAGAGGTTAGAGCTCCCTCGCCGCGACTGATTAGCCGCCCGCCTAAGTGAAGCCCCACTGGACCCCAGGGACAGATCCACACCAGCTCTCCAGGTAGGGAGGCTGGGTGGATATTTAATATTAATAATTTGTGTGTACATGTGTTTGTCTCTAAGTGTATGTGTGTGTGTCTCTAAGTGTATGTGTGTGTCTGTAAGTGTATGTGTGTGTGTCTGTAAGTGTATGTGTGTGTGTCTGTAAGTGTATGTGTGTGTCTGTGTCTGTAAGTGTATGTGTGTGTCTGTGTCTGTAAGTGTATGTGTGTGTCTGTGTCTGTAAGTGTATGTGTCTGTCTGTAAGTGTATGTGTCTGTCTGTAAGTGTATGTGTCTGTCTGTAAGTGTATGTGTCTGTCTGTAAGTGTATGTGTGTGTGTCAGTAAGTGTGTGTGTGTCTGTGGGTCTGTCTGTGCATGTGTGAGTGTCTGTAAGTGCATGTGTGAGTATGTGTATATTTGTGTGTATGTGTTTCAATGTGAGTGTGTGTGTGTGTGTGTATGTGTTTGCCTGTGAGCAGAGTACTTGTAGAATAGAAGAAAGAAGGTGCAGAGTACTTGTAGAATAGGAGAAAGAAGGAGTAGAGTACTTCTAGTATAGGGGAAAGAAGGAGTAGAGTACTTCTAGTATAGGGGAAAGAAGGAGTAGAGTACTTCTAGTATAGGGGAAAGAAGGAGTAGAGTACTTCTAGTATAGAGGAAGGAGTAGAGTACTTGTAAAAAAGGAGAAGGAAAGAAAAGGAAAAGGAGAGAATTGTTGTTGACTAATAATAGTAAGTGGGCTACCTAGCTCAGCCTTCCTACTGGGCATTGCTATAAGGAAGGTTAAAAAATAGAAAAAAGGGGAAAAAGGTGGGAAGGGGAATTGAGGAGGGAGAGGAGGGGAGCTGACGCACAGATGAGAAATCATTTTATGAGCAAACAAAGAAGTCTTCCGATTATCACTGAAAGAGGAGACCTTCGTTTGTTCCTTATGAAAATCGAACCAGATATCAAATATTTAGTCTCGCAGCATCAACCTCAAGGATCTCATTAATCACTAGTAAAGGTAAGTTCAATTTACTTTATTGCTTCCTCATTAAACTTTATAAAGTTAAAAACATTATAAACATGCATAAAGTAGAAATAAAAAGATAAATGTACGTTCATTTATGTATTTTTTAAAACACCCTCCTTTCTAAAAAATATTCCGCGCTTGCGCGAAAACTGGTGGGCGGTAAGGAAATTTTTCCATCAAGAAAGATGCATTAGTGGGCGGTAAGTGGAAAAAGGTTGACTACCACTGATGTAGACAATATAGAAAACCATTACAAACGGCAATTCTCATGCTAGAGTATATCATATAATAAAAAAACAATAATTTTACCATGTCATTATGGTTGAAACTTTTCATTCATAGTACTGTAGTGTATATAAACTTAGACCTATCTCCAAAGAAGAAAGCCTTTGGTAATGTGATCATCTAAAGAGCAGTGGGCAAAAGGCCCTATTAGTGATCTACTCTTTCGTTAAAAACTGTAGAGTAGATATGTATATCCATATAATAATATAGTCTTTTAGTCACTTTGATAACAATAAACTGTGGATGTCTTGAATGTTCTACCCGTTAAACAGTGATCCCACTTTCCTTTTGGAAATGATATAAAGCTCTTTGCTAAAGTAACTTCTATATAATGCCATGTAACACTGCACAATTTTCAGTTGATTATATTAACATATCACATATTAACAACAGCAAGACACTGGTAGTCTCAAATTACATCAGTAATCATATGAGTTGAATTGTTAAACTATATTTTGAATATCTGCCTAAAATATGTGTATTACTTTACAAAACAGATGATTGAGTCCATCACCTAATATAGCATTCCCCCTTTAAAATTTTGAGTAACCCAACACCCACCCCATATGTGGAATTGGTAAGAGGTATGTGACTATCCCACAGCCTTTATTGTCCATCCCGAGAACTGGTCATGATCTCTCTCAGTATGATGGTCTATGAGTGTAATTTCCTTGTTTCTATTTTTGTTACTTTAACCCATTTTCTAATTTCTGTAACAACTGAAATTCTATAAATAATGAATTTATAAAAACATTTTGAGTATGTAGAAAGTATAAAAAACGAATAACAATTTACAAATTAAGAAAGCAACAAACTATATGATGCACCATTATGACAATGGCTGCTATAAAGTAGTTGAAAAAATGAAGGCAGATTGCATGAAAGTAAACTTCTAAGTTATTAAGTTATTTGGTCATCGATAGCAGAAATCAATTGAACTTATTATTTAAGTGCTTCCTACAAAACTTTTAAAAATGGTGCAGAATTATAGTGATATCCACAGTACTGGAAAAAAAATTATTTGTATACCAGCACTTAAGCAGCAATAAACAAAAGGAGAAGTATCTTGGTGAAGCACCTATCTTAATAATAGTTGTAGTCGGGGACATAAGCTGTAAGGTATGATAAGTACATCAACAGTCGGTTGTGGTGTGCCAGAAGCGAAGTATGGGGTAGGCCTGTAATAAAAGAGGGCCTGCCCTTGAATAGTAATAATAAAGGGTTAAGGTGGGAGGGATGAATCCAGCGATACCAGTAGTGATTAGGAGGGGGCCTGAGCTTTTATAGCCGGGTAACCCCTCCCACAATTACACGCTACGCCTTTCTATTTGTAGTCGGAGACATAAGCCGTAAAGTATGATAAGTACAGAAGAACATAACAGTCGGCTGTGGTGTGCTGGAACCGACGTATGGGGTAGGCCTGTAATAAAAGAGGGCAAAAAGGTTTGGGGTAAAAAAATAACTTTATTGGACATAAGTTACATTGCTAGACCTTTGAATGCTGATCTTAATTCTTGTTCAGGCTGTGGAATATAAGTGGCGTATACAGCGGACTTCCACCGCCCTAATCTTTTAATGATGTGAGTTGGTACGTTGTTTCTTGAAGCCGCTGGAGCCGCTGAAGCCGCTCCAATTCTAAATGAGTGTCCGGAAAATCCTGTGGGGTCAATACCGAGTCTGATGAACAGAGTTCGGATGTAATGTATGAATTTTGCTGTGGTTATGGGATAATAGCAGACCTTGGTAGGTGGACCTAACTGATAAGTTTTGGTGTGGTCTGTGGTGAGAATATAGTGATCTGTATGTCTTTGGAGGTTAGTAATCTTGAGGTGCTGGTGATGACATGTGACACTATTGGTGGTGAAATTGTTTGGCTGTAGGAAACCATAAAAGGCTAGGTAAGTTGCTGTCTTAATAGCCAGATTAGTACTGGTATCAAATGGCCTGGAGTCCAGGATATTGGAGAGTGCGCAAAACTTGGGACTGTCTATAGGGAGTCTGGAAGAGGTAGTGGGTAGGTCTAATCTTTGTATGCCTTTCAATATGTTTTTAACGGGATAGGAAGACATGACCGGTTTAGAACTAGGGTAGGCACTAATGATGTGGTGTTGAATACCCGAGAGATACAGTTTTATGGTATTTAATAATAGTTTAAGGTTAAGGTGGCAAAAGGAGATAAACGGAATGATAGAATCTAGTGAATGTCGCTTATCTGATAATCTGTCGTGAATTTGGTATATATGTGTCACATCCTGTTCCTCGCTGCGGATCATTCTGGCAATGGCTTCTGGTATCCAGTACTCTTTTTGCTGTCCTTGCTTGGTTTTTCTGTTTTTTCTGGTCTATGTCTGGTTTTCTTTGTTGCTGGGTTTCTGGGTTCATTCTTATATTCTGTCCCTGGATTTCCCAGTATCTTGGATTCACTTAAATGTTTGTTTTATGTTGCCACACACCCGTTTGTTTCCACTTTCCTTTTGTTTCAGCTTGGACCTGCAGCAATGTTTCTAGTCTCTGCCCTTTCTTGCAGGTAAGTGCTATATTGTGGTTTAGTGTGGCTGTTTTAGCATACATTAGGCAGTGTAGGACCTGCCAGATATGGGGTACATTGGCGTTGTTGGCAGGCTTGTGCAATGTATGATCATATAATGTGACTAAATCCCCATACTTTTCATAATTAGTGCTTAGCTATGTTTCCTCTTGTTTTACCTTGTATCTCTTGTCTTGTTTTACTTTGTCTTGTAATCCCAGTCCATGTACAGTCCTGTCCAGTCATGCCTATGTTATGTTCTTGTTTTCCTCATGTCTTGTGTACATGTTCTAGGTACTGCTTTCTGTCCTGCTCTGGTTCTGGGTTCTCCTAGTTTGGTCTTGTTTTCATGCATGGTGCCTATCTCTAGTCTTTCCTTGTTCTCTTAGTTTGGTCTTTTCTTGTATGGTGCCTTGCTCTCCTAGTCTTGCCTTGCTTCAGTACTGGATACATCCCTGCTGCAGAGCCTCCCTATTCAGCTTCTGGGAGGTCTGCTTATTACTTGCTCCTAGTTCCTGGGATCCGCATAAGCTGAATCAGGGTTCTGGTATGTGGCTGCACAAACGCTGGTGCTCAACACCAGGGGGCGTGCGGTTACCCTGCACCAGACCCTGCTAATCCACCTCCACACTGTGACTCCTACACTGAACATCAGGCATACTGGGTCCCGGTCCACGCACCGCTGCCCGGACGAGGTCTGGGTCCCGTCACCGCACCGCCACCGTGACAATATGGTGAATGCTTGATTGTATGCCCAGGAGGTGTTTTACCTCTGGCTAGGTATCTGCTGTGTGATAGTCTCTCTAGTCCAGGATAAGGTCTTGGAATGAGGGGGTGCTGACCAGTCTGGAGTTGACTGTGGGATGAGTCCTGAAGAAAACCTGTAATTAGCTCGAGACAATGCGTCAGCGGCTGTATTGGTGTTTTTTCTGTAATATGGATGCACGTGATGTGGAATTGTCGTGTTGCTGCTAACCAAGTTAGCCTTCGGATCAATTTCATTATGGTGTCTGTGGAAGATCTACCCTTGTTTATGATGTCACAGGCTGCTTTGTTATCGGAAAAGCTTTTTACTGCTTTCCCCTTCCATAGGTGTCCCCATACTCTGGCGGCTGCCACAATTGGATAGACTTCAAATAAGGCTGAAGTAGTGTTAAATGAGGGCAAACCAAGGGTTTCTGCAGGCCAGGAATCTCTAAACCAGTTATTGCAATAGATGGCCGCAATGTGAGCTGCGGCATCGGTCCAGATGACTGGTGAGGATTCTGACAAGGGTGTGATGAACATGGCTCTCCCATTCCAATGAGACAGGAAGCATAGCCACATGAATAGATCTGCCCTGGCATGAGCATCTAGTGATAAGGAGCTCAGTATTGAGTAAAGGGAGAATGAATGATTTTCATGGCGAAGTTCAACGTGCCCAGTAAGGATTGTAGGTCTGACCTGGTACATGTGTCCTTAACCAGAAAATACTCCACCATCTCTATGATTTGTCGCACCTTCTCCCCTGATAAACTAGCCTGTAAGGTAACAGTGTCCAGGTGAATACCCAGGAACATAATATTTGTGGTAGGGCCTGTAGTTTTCTCTTGGGACAGTGGAGCCCCTAATGCTGCAAATAGGGCCATGGTCTTCTGGAGGCTGACTGGAGAGGACTGAGGTGATTCTATAGTGAGGAAGTCATCCAAGTAGTGCAGAACTGAGGGGTAATGGGTAATATTAAGGAGTAGCAAACATAGGGTGTCGGCAAATATGTTGAATAGTTTGGGGCTGCTTTTGGCTCCGAAAGTAACGCAAGTAGCAAAGTAGTATTTGTTTTCCCATCTGATGCCGTGAACATGCCACAGGGATGGGTGAATGGGTAGGAGCTTGAAAGCGTTAGAAATATCAGTTTTACTTCACCAAGCTCCTACCCCTGCCCCAAGAAGTGCCTGAATGGCATCGTCCACTGTTGTGTACTGCAGTGAAAACTCTTCTGAAGGTATTAATGAGTTAATGCTGGGGGTTGCTAAAGAATGCGGAGCGGACAAGTTGTAAATCAGTCTCTTGTTATTGTTGAACTTTTCAGTGGCAATACCTATAGGGTTGGTACGCCAACTGGAAAACAGAGGGTGAGAGAAGGGGCCCAAGATAAATCTGTTAGTCAGTTCCTTTGTGAGTAGTGACTGTGTGGTGAGAGGGTAAAGCATAGCTGACTGTAAGTTGGGACATTCGCAAATACCTGTGGGGAGTGTAAGAAGGCCTGTGTGGAAACCGTTAGTGAAGCCTTGGATGAGGAAGTCGATTAAGTGCTGGGAAGGGTGTGCCTGGAGGTAGAATGCCAGGTTGTCGATGCTAACTTCGGTTAGTCATTGTTTTGGGTACAGATGATTGGGACACATAGTTTTGGTGTGTGCCCTGAAGCAAATTAAGCAGACGTGCAGCAATCTGCACGAGCTTAATCCACAACTGCCCAAATTAAAGTTGTTGCAGATCTGAGCTTTCCCAAGGTATACTATGGGTCTGTCCAACTTGTCCTTCAATCTCTGTGTTCTGCAGTGGAGGAACCGAAGGAAGCACGACTAGTGGTAGGAAGGCTAGGATCGACTGGGCACAAGTTGGTGGAGTGTGAGATGGAGGTGCACAAGGCACAAGAAGGAGGCTTTTGGCCAGCAAAGTGGCAGCAGAAATGTTCTCTATCCAGCTTACTCCAGTTGGTATGGGTGTTAAATTGAGTTAGGGACGCTGTTGCCTTGGCCAAAAAAGATTTGTGATAATCGTAGAAAGAAAACCCTCCATACTTGTGCCCTAGGTCCATCAACTTGTGCATGTATAAATCCAATTCCTCCCTACAGTGCGGGGAGGTGGAACAGATTACGTCACGATAGAGGCCAAGGGCAAGGGCAAACTCAGGTATGGTGAGCTTTCGGTTGAGCCTAGGATCTCTGGCTTTTAGCACAACCAAACGATCGCCGTAGCAATAGGCCTTGTTCTCTACCACATCTTGTGAAGCGAACAATAATGTCCTTGCCTTCCAGAATATCTTTGCGTATCGTCGGGGGGACAAAGTGTGCAGGCGTGATGTGAGTGGACGTGCTTGGCATTGGGTTTATGGGAGTGTCATTAACATGGGGGAGAAGAGCCGAAGTGGGGATTGGTATGGGCGAGGTGATTGTTGAAGTCTGAGAGGTTTCCAGCTTGTCCAGCCTAATGCTGATCGTGGTGATTGAGGTGAGAAGAGATGACATCAGGCCCTTGATCTCATTATAGTTTTCTCAGTGCAGAACCACTCCTGGCTGGGGAGTACAAGTGTTAGCGATAAAAATTTTGTATAGTTTGGCCTTGCGGGCTATAGCTGGAAACGGGACCCCCAAGCGACGTAATTCGGACGCGAGCTTGGGGATGGTCCATGACCGGAGAGCGTATGGGCTGGCTGGTTCTAAGTTCTCGGTATGTGTATTTGGGCCAGCTGGGGTAGCAGGCCTGGTTGGGGTTTCAGGTATGGCCAGCTCTTCTTCTTGGTCATGGTTTTGAGACATACTAGAAATGAAAATAGGGTAAGAAACAGGCTGATAACCATGAGTGGTTGTAGTGAGGCTCTAGCTATGCGTTGGACCGAGGGGCGTATACCTCCGATGAGGATTGGTGTTGGCCTCACGGGATTAGCTTACTTTACAATTTAAGCTAGGGGCCGTATGCTAAACGTCACCAGTTGACCGCCCTATACATTTGGGATCTTGGGAGTAAGTGTCAAGCGATGACGTACCTATTTGTATAAGCGTAAGAGTTCTCAACGGGGAATTAGAGGATACTTTAGAATCTGGAAAATGGAATAGGTGGTTAGGATTGGCTATAATTGGGTTGGAAAACAATAAATATATATTTCTTATTTTTGAGGGGTCTCACCTGATAGGCCAATAACAATGGTTCTGTCGGGATAATTGCTTTAACGCAAGTTCGGGGAGTTATCTGAGGATAAAGCTTAAGGTTATCCACTGTACCATCTTAGTTATGTAAAACACTAGGGATGTGGTGCTCCATAATATACCTGTAATGAACTAGGAGTGGGAGTCCGTAGAGAGCCCTGGGTTCAGGGGAGGAGTATGAAATGGTTCAAATGGGCCTGGAACGAAACTGAGGGCAGGGACGTGAGGAGTTAGTGAAAATCACATATATAAAATATAAAGACAGGACAAGCCTTTTGATGTGGGGTATACTGGAGTCTATTTTCCTTACCGTATAACCAGAGCCAGAATGTGTCTTTAATGAGTAAATAATTGAGGCAGTCAGGTGAGGCCGGGAGTAGAGGTAAGGTTTAGACAAATGCCCAGTATGGGGGACAGGTAATATATTGTAGGTACTAGTAACATGGGATGTTTTAAGATAAGTACTTGAATAACAGTGGTTATGGTATACTTAGTGTGCTGCTGTTGGCATGCTTTTTGGGTAAAATTATGCAGTAATGCGCATATATAGGGGTACCTAAGGTGACCCGCCAAGCAAACATATCATGAATTAATACACGATTTAGTAATTTAAAACAGAAGGAAAAAGGAGGGGGAAAAACAGAATTTAAATGAAAAAGCATTTCCATGTAATAATCTGTTTTTGCCACCAGGGGTCGTAGTGAGCAGCCGTTTTGTATTGTAAGTATTTGAATGAACTTGTTCGTATGCCGGCTTGCCGACCAGCGTTGGAGGGTAAGTGCCAGAGTGGTGAATGCATGTACGTGGAGTGAGCTACCGAACGGAGCACGCAGTGGTAAGGT